TTCGGAGCTATAGGAAAATGCTGAGCTGTTCAGACGGTGGATTTTCGCTTTGGGTACTTCATTCGCTTTTGGTACGAGGAAGTCCTCTTCGGAACTGTAGAATGCGTGGCTTGTGGTCTCTTTCATCATAGCACCCTCGTCTGAATTGTACATGGTGTTCTGGTCGTTGTTTCTGTCCTGAAAATCATTGGAGATTTAGATACTTTTTCAGGATATCGGTAATGAGAAATGCAAGTCTCCAAGTTTCGAAAACATGAAGACGGAATTAGTTATAAAAGTTATGAATTTTCCAGAAATCTCGCTCAAAATTGATGCTAATCTGAAGGGGATATCATTTTAAAACGGTTTTGTTCCGTAGGCGTACATTGAGTCAGTTGAAATGTGAAAAATGTAGTACAACCAGTAGGCTCTCTTCCCACGTGATTCGCCCGAGTTGCCGAGGACCTTCAACCGCGCTTAGGATGAGATTCTCATCCAATGCGTTCAGTGCTGTAGTATCGAAGGATTCGACGGTGCGACGGGCATCGGATTAGTTATAATAAACGATCGCAAATTGATATTGTGTTTAGTTTAATCGCTGTTGTTATTATTGTTTTTAGTTTTTGTAGTTGGTTATGAGTAACTTACCACAAAATCTTTTATAATATTCTTAAATTTCATTTTAATAACAGCACACGCCTATGATAAAAGAACGAAATTGACTTCACACTTCGATTCGAGGTCACCGAGAACTTTGTGAACTTATGAATGAAAGTAGTGGGAGTGGACTTACTGGTTTATTTTTACTATGGTTGTATGGTTCGAAATAACAAATCTCAAAATAATTTTTATGTATACAAACAAATAACAAAATACAGAACACTCACATTAATAATTAATGTATTTTTCAAATCAAACACCCTGAATGTTCTTTACTCTCTATGAAAAGCACTTCTCAATCATATGCCTGGACAGCTTACATAATTGAATCAGGCATACCTGGGATTTTTGCTAGAAAAGAGGATGACTTCATGATTCGATCCGTTCTAATAATAGTGCTTCAATTAGAGACTTTACTAGCTGAAGAATATAAATTAATGATAAAGCCCTTGCGTCTTAATCAGAGTTTTTATTAGTAAATTAAACTTAGTTTGTGAAATAAAATTGATACTTCAGTTTTCTCTCCAGCAAAACGAATGTGCAAATGTGCGTTCTCTGTTAACAAAAATATTTTTCTTCTAAATGTATATGGCACTATCATACACCAAAATCCTTCATATACCGTTGATACTGTTGTAAATTATGCCCTGATAAAAATAACGCCGGCCGCCGCTGGTCTTCATCAATCAACAGTGACTTGAGTTTCTCGATCGTTCGAGGTGTGGCGTCGCTTCGAGAAGATTCCTATCGGCTTTCAGAAACTTCCATTAGGATATACAGGGTGATTCAAAAGTACTTTGACAAACTTCAGGAGGTGATTCCTCACAATATTCTAATATGAATTGTATAATTATCGAACAGAATTATGCGAGTTTAATTTTCTTTTCAAAAATAGCACAAGCTGCTACAATGAATAATTACTCAAAAATTATTCGCCGACACCTTCAGTTTTATTTTTAGGTAGGAAAAAACAATTTCCGACCTCCACCGAAAGTGGAATCTGCTGTGGTAAGAATAGAACCAAGAAATCCACCCCCTCCTATAAACTACACAGAATGGGACGGTTTGACGAGGATAGTTTTCACACGTAAAAATAAAACATTGGGAAGTTCATTCAGGCAGACTGCTGTGTTGGCCACATTGGAGAAGAATTATAAAGTACATTGTAGTCTACATAATAAGGTAAACGTTATTTTCATTAGAAAGCTGTATTTTTCATAACAGAGTTTGTCACCTCAACTCTAGCACCATTTTTAAACTTCTCTAAAACTTTAGAGAGGGTGTCGCATAAAATGTTTCCAATTGAATTGAAAAGTCATGGTATCAGAGGAAATACTTCTTGCTTTATTCAGAGTTACCTGGAAGAAAGGTATCAGTGGAAGGAGGGTTTCCCGGAAATCAGATGTTGATTACTCAATAGTTACTCTAGCACCATTTTTAAACTTCTCTAAAACTTTAGAGAGGGTGTCGCATAAAATTTTTCTAATTGAATTGAAAAGTCATGGTATCAGAGGAAATACTTCTTGCTTTATTCAGAGTTACCTGGAAGAAAGGTATCAGTGGAAGGAGGGTTTCCCGGAAATTAGATGTTGATTACTCAATAGTTATTTTAGAAACATTCAATATGCTGATGATAGTACAATATTAGATCCACACACACCAATGTGGAGTGTTTTTAATAGGTTCACTTTACACCAGAGGTTCCAATTCTACCCATCACCTAAGAACTCTTTCCTGAGAAAAATATTAAATTATTGTTATCAACTTGGAACAAAAATCTATACTTATAAATGCGAAAGTCACTCACTTAACACATTCGCTGCTTAAGTAATTAAGGATTCTACTCCTGTGCGGGACATGTTAATTTTTTAAATAAGGTTTTTGGGGCTGTATACTTTTTTAATGAGTTTTTTTGTGTGAAAAGCAGTAATTATTCATTTATACAGGCTCGGACGGCTATTGGCGTACCAGAGTTTCAAGGATATATGCGGATGACGCCATATGGCGTTAGTGGGTGAAAACGGTCAAGTAGAAAAAAATACAAGTAAAAAAAAAACATTTTTAAACAAAATTAAATTATATTACATTTGCCATTTTTGGTCAAAAACGTAATAAAACACTTCATTCAATTTTTTTGTGAAAAAGACTAAAACATGGCTCAACACACAAACCGGGTTTATCTGGACAAGTCTTACATTCCCACACAGTTTCTTTCCTGATTTTCTTCTGTTTTCTTGTTCTTCTCTTTGTGGCATTAACCACTTCAATTTTACTAGGTATGTGTTTGGATACGATATATTTTATTCTACTTGGTACATCAGGCAATAGATTTTCAATCACAGCTAAACGGTAATCATATAATGTCATTTTTCTGCTCGAGTATTTGCAAAATATCACGTTAGAATTGAACAAAAGGAGCTGCAGGATATGAGCACCAAGTTTTTTATACCAGAATAATGTTTTTCTTAAAGAAGGGTAGTAGGACATCATCTGGTCCTGATAATCTATTCGGCCCATGTATTAATTATATTCCACAATTGGTGAAGGCTTCTGTTCAGCAACTTCTCTTTTATTAGTTTTCTCTACCATTTGGTTTTCAAATTCTGTGGATATGTAGGTAACATATCTTCTATCCTTCCACTTTTCGATCATTATACCATCTGCATACTGGGCTTTTGATTCCCCAACTTTCAATTTACTTTTCAAAATTTCAACAGGACCACCTTTGCTGTCACTGCGTAGAGTTCCAGTACAGTATGTTTTAAGGTTTATCAAGGTTCTAGCTAATTGGCAGCTATTGCAATAATTATCCATATAAATAGAATGTCCTTTGTTGAGGTAATCTTTTGCTACATGCTAAATAATATAAGTGTTCATATTTATTAACAACCTTATATCGTTTGAATTTATGCCTAATAAGATACACTGTCAAAATTTTTCCGTTAATAAACTTATACTTTGCCTAAATGAAAATTTTATTTATGAGTTTTATCATATCACTCCTGGAATTGTATCAATTATAGGTGAAGTGGTTACTTCCATAGACATAATAATCACAACCACATTTTTTCAATTGACATATATTTAAATCTACATTTATGTTATTCAATCGAAGTTCAATTGATAGTTATCATGTTTTTAAGAAAATGTTAATTTGGCGTTGAATCATTCCAAATCAAATAATGAACAGACACGGTTGGGAAGGTGAAGACGAAGTCCGATTTCTCACGAAAAGCATTTGGGGGAAAATGTTCGCGGCTATTATCAATCTTGTCACATTCATCCTTTCGGCGGATGAAATCCAACCCTTAAATCTTATAAGTGATGAAGGGTTAAACGATACCTTATTGCTTTTCACTTTTTAGAATTTGAAGCAGGAGATATCGAAAAAGATTTTTCGAAATCACATTAACAAAGTTAACGAATTTTCTATTTTCCTAAAAGATTTAAATCGTCCAGATTGGGATTTGTTGACTGAACATTGGCTTGCTCATAATGAACCCTTTTACTTACCTCATTATACAGAAATGTCAAGATACAGTAGAATTAAGAGCATACATGGAGGAACCATGATTCTTCAAAATAATTCACTGAATGTGAAATTCGTTAACGTGGAAAAATTTAATGATTATTTGGAAGAAAAAACATTTGAATTTTGCTTGTTACATTCACAAATATTGAACATGTATGTAATATGTGTTTATGGAGCACCCACATCTGATGTAAATATTTTCATACAAAATTTAGAACAGCTTCTCAATGTACTTCCGTCAAATGCAACTATTCTGGTATCAGGAGATTTAAATATTAATTACGTTGACAAGAAATCTCTGGCCACCCAATATCTACATAATCTTTTTTCATTTATCTTAACTATGCATATTGAGTCTAATAATAAACCGTAATAAATACAAAAACTATGAAAGATTTTATAATACATGCCTGAATACCACTTGGAATATTGTGAACAATGACCAGGATTCATTCTCAAGTTTTTACAATTATTTGGTGATTATTTTTAATAGTTCATTTCCGATTCAAAAGTTGAAAATCAAGCACAAGAAACAGTGGATTACTCGTGGCATAAAAATTTCAGCAAATAATATGTGATCGCTGCACCATATTCGGAAGTTTTACGATAATATCTCATTTCAAAGATATTTCAGTAGATACGGCAGCATCTATAGACAAGTTGTCAGACAAGCAAAAGAAAGTTACTATAAAAATAGATTCGAACAAGCTGAAAACAAATCGAAAGAAACTTGGCAAGTAATTAATGACCTAAGAGTATTTCACAACATTGTTCTTCGAGGGACTTATAGCTGTACCAATATACTAGGATAATGATTCACTAAAAATAATACTGGTAAAGTTGATTATTCAAACTTATTATATTTTTACATATCACTATATATTTTTGTAAAATATCACAATTGCTAAAAGTATTATTTTCGTTTCTCAGAAAATTGCCTTTTTCCTTCCTCGATCACAGCTTTTGATACACCCTTTTCAACAAAAATGGAGACCACTCCTAAATCATTGATATCATGTATGTTACGCATTTCATCATCAAAAAAAATCATTTCATCAAATTCCAAGCCTGACTGCGACTTTATACTGAAAGTAAAAAAAATTGTTGGAAATATACTGTGATCGATACCTAAAATAGTTCAGTCACAAACCAATCATCACAAAATGTACAGTCTCACAATATTTTTCATGAATATGTTGATTTTATTCAAAATAAAGTTTAGATTATTGCTTGAAACAGACAAAAAATTGTTATATGCTAAGAGATTACCAAAAACACAATTATTGTAGGTACTAATTTATATGGTTTCTTCAGACTACAGATGATAGAGGTCCTAGAATACTTCCTCGAGGTACACCAAAATTTTTAAGAATGCCTATATCAGCTAACCAGTAGTTTAGTATGTAAATTGACAAGACAAAATAGTTTTTGTGTAATTAAATGTGTGATATTAAAAATAGCAACATTAGAAGTTTTTCCGTTTGAAGAAGCTAAGTGCAATTTCAAGGACATCAAATTTGAATTTTTCTTCTGATGTATGTGCCAAGGGGAATCCAGAGCTGAAGGAGCAATGTGGCAACTTTTGTTCATTCAGGTGCTATAAAGATTATGTATATTTTATTACACTATGTGTGATTGATGACTTGTTTATTTTGTGGTAAGTCTTGATCACTTCAATGAAATGAATAAAAACAATTTTGTCTAATTACCACAGTCCTATAAATAAAATTAACTAGTGGTAATCAGACAAAACTGTTTTTATTCATTTTATTAAAAGTATTACACTATTAAAAACAACCTTTAGTCTATGTGGGAAAGTCTAAAACTATTCAAAGAATTAAAATTTGGCACTCCCATTTCATTATGAATGTTCATTTTTTTTATACCAACCCTTCTCTGTGAATTAATGAAATTGAAAGCCAAAAAAGGCCTTTTCAAGCATCAAATCCCAAAAACTGTTTTCCATAATAATCCCATGTTTTATAGAAAATACGTACTTATTGAAATGTGTAACTTTTTTCCCAGGAAATATTTCTTTATATTTGAAGTATTTGTCCCATCCGAACAACTGAATCAGTTGCCTTGCTCCTTTTATTTCCGAAGTTCTTGATGCGACTGCTAAAATGTACCCTTCTTCGTGCAGATTTTTCAGCACTTCTGGAACTTGAGGGTAGCATGTGACTTTTGTCCCTAAAGAATCTGTAATCGTTCCACTGGGTCTGCAATGATAAGGGTCTTGAGTAGAGAATATGATAATGTTTTAAGAGGAACATACTCTTTTTTAAACGGGGGATTAACGTGAGTGTCCACCCAAAAAGGCCATAACGTGTAATCTGAAAATGGTAGGCTGATGAAAAGTTGAAATTTCATATCATACTCAAATTACCTAAATCAAAAACAATAAGTTTCAATTTTTCCAGACCCATGACCTTAGAGGTTATATTTAGTAACCTAGAAAGTTATTTTATTTACATCTATTTTTTGTCTCATTTAGTAAGTGTTACCAACATCGCTATTTGATCTAACTTTTTAGCTGTGTTGTACTAACAGTTTTGGAGTCGTATTTGTGTTTCGCTATTTTGAAGTTATGGAATTATTCGCAGATGAAAGTAATTTTTCATCATTAAGTTGTAGTTAAGATGAAGATGACTTTCTGCTTTCTGTTGAGACAGAATTGCTTGCATTGATTAAACTTTGCGATAATGAAAAGTTGATCGTCGGTATAATTAACAGAAACACTTATAGTTTTGTTAATGAACAAAGAAAAACCATTCTTTTTCTAGTTTTGACACTTGATACATGTAGCTACACTACAAAAGCTGAATTGTTAAAGTTTTCATTATGAAATTATATTCTATCGTGAATATTGTCGACCACCATCTCAAAATACTTGAAACTGAAAATTAGACGGTTTCGTATTGGAATTTTTTCGACCTGAAATGTCCGGAGTAATTCAGTCGAAAACAGATGTTGCTGACACTGAAATTATTTGTTAACACCTCTTGCTGTTCTAGAGTATTAAATTACTACAGTTTTCATCCAAATTGTTTTTGTTAATCTAATGAAAATTGATGCCATTCATTGGAAAATTTGTTTTGTTGGCTTGGCACTCACATTGAGTCATTGATAGATATGGCAGACTACTGAGTTCACCCTAAAAGAAAGTGGTCCTTCAACTTTCAAAAGTTAATATGATTCGAGGAAAATTTCACATTTGTATAAACAAATATTGACATTCTAGTACAGTGACCATTTTCATTATGTATGTTTGCTTTACAAAAGTGAATCAAAGAGCGTAACATTTGTCGAATTTTACCATTTTATTGAATTTCAATATATCCTTCGGCTTCTATTTCTAAGCATAGATATTCGCTCAGTTATTTGTGACGAGAAATTTGTCAAAAATTTACTCAAAATATGTTTTCAACTTGATTCATTACAAAATATGTTTACGGTGTCGTAGTAATAGACACGGTTAAATCAAGTTCATCAGATAAACGTTTTTTTTTTATTTTTCGACCCGAATTTTTTACAAATAAAAACCTTCCACTTTGGTACTCTGTCACTTGAATTAGTCTTCATAAACGAGTTCGACCATTTCAAACTAACTGGAGCAATTTAAAAACTTTCAAAATGGACGAAGTAATTTTGACATGCGATACTCACAACAAAATGTTAACGGAAGCGCTCTTCGATTATTACAAAAAAGAAGAAATGTTCGACGCAACAGTTTGTTTTGAAGATGGTAAAATTAGAGCACATAAGCTGATTCTCTCTGCTCTCAGCCCTAAACTCGCACATGTTTTCAAGATTGATGAGGAAACAAGGCATGTATACTTTACGAGCATTTCGAAGTCATCCATGGAGTACTTGATTGAATATATCTACAGAGGTAAAGTTTCAGTGCCTTCAGAAGCCCTGGCTAGTGTGATCGAAGCAGCAGAGTATTTTCAAATCAAAGGATTTATGTCACAAAACAATGGCATTGAGAATAAAGTTTTGAAAGGGGTGGTAAGACATTTCATAATTGCTACAGAATTTGAATATGAGACACTGATTTGTAAATTGATTTGCAGGAAAATCTTCCCGTTATGGAGGTGGAAAAATGAAAAACAAGTGTTTATAATGTTTCTTATTGTTAAATTTCACCGCCTGCTTCTTCAAACTATTTGTATGTAAATGAATATTTATTATGTATATACATCAATAAAACATATTTTGAACAGAAATAAAATTTTATTTTGAATATACTGTATATATAACAATATCTTTGTTCATTGAATTGATAAAGAAAACGAATACAACTCTAGCAAAAAACCTCTGAAAAGAGTTTAATTTTTTGTGTGAATAGCAAAAAAAAATGTTAAGGACGTTTGTTTTGTGATTTGAAATACTAACCACAGGGCATATATATCACTTAATTGTGATCTGTAATTGTATTTTACTGGATTCCAACCTATATAATAGGAGTGACTTCTAATGACAAGTAGATCATTGGGCCACGTGTCAAAATGCCAATAAAAAGTTATTTTATTCTCAATCAATTTGCAGTAACTACCAGTTCTTCATTTCCAGTACTGAGAATGATGTCGGTATAAATTGGTTTGTTATATTTTCAGGATATCTGCTACAAGTTGATGTTCATTTTTTAGACGCCAATGAGTATTATAGTTATTATTATTATTGTAGGTGAATAGTGAATTTATAGTTATTGAAAGTGAATGTAACAACTTGAGAGCGTTGAGCCTACGTCCATATGAATTTTCATTGCTGCAAAAAGTCTTCCTGCACAAGAAGACAAAAAAAGAGTTCTCAGTTGCTTTTTTATGGGTTTACTAATCCACCAAAATTGTTTTATGTTAACTTGAAGATTCTCATGGACAAAGTATGATGGGCTGTTTTCTCAACTTTCGCTTCGTGTTCTGAACATGGAACACGGAGCGAATAATAACGTACTGTATTACATAAAGCAACACTGCTGCACCCCCAGGACAAATTTCTCTTAGTGTATATTACACAACTGGAAAGATAACACTGGCGGCTGACGGATCACTGTTGAGTTTTAGAATTCGTCTGATGGGAAAAGACAATATAGTTGGTGGTTGAGTTTTAATTCAAAGAAGTATCGGTGGCTGCCCTGTAACATTGACGTGTATAGAAATCTTCGTTCTATGTTATGTACAAGGTGGTACAAGTACAATTTTGCTAAATGTCAACATTTTTAACAACATAACCTCGAATATGTGTGTTGTATATGTTTTATTGAATTGAACAATAATAAGGTGCAATATTACATAAAGCAACAATCTTGCACACCAGGACAAATTTCCCTAAGTGTATATTACACAACTGGAAAAGAGTTGGTCATATAGCACTGATACAGGAAGCTGAGGCCAGTAAATTAATAAGGACAAGACAAATAATAACTGTCCTCACCAACTCTTTCAGCAGCATGGGGAAAGTTAAGCAGGAGAAAAAAAAGAAATCCTCAAATGGGATCGTAAAACAAGGTAATATATTGTTTTCCACTTCCTAGTTACATACTTGCTGATTAATATTTTCCAGGAATAATGTTCAACAAAAATTTTGGACAGCACATTCTAAAAAACCCGATGATCATAACATCCATGCTCGAAAAATCTGGACTGAGACCAACAGATGTGGTTCTTGAAATAGGTCCGGGTACGGGTAACATGACTATACGTCTTCTAGAACAGGTTAAGAAAGTGGTTGCTTGCGAAATAGATGTCAGACTGGTTGCCGAGTTACAGAAAAGAGTACAAGGAACACCTGCCCAACAGAAACTCCAGATACTTGTTGGAGATGTGCTGAAAACAGATCTTCCATTCTTTGACATTTGTGTGGCAAATATTCCTTATCAGATATCCTCACCATTGGTGTTCAAATTGTTGTTGCACAGGCCTTTCTTTCGATGTGCTGTGCTTATGTTTCAGGAAGAGTTTGCAAAGAGGCTTGTTGCAAAGCCTGGTGACAAACTGTACTGCAGGTTATCAGTTAATACACAACTTCTTGCTAGGGTTGACATATTGATGAAGGTAAGTGTAGACGAAAATTGGTAATTATCTGTTTCAAGAACATGTGCTTGTTCTGACAAAAAATTCATTGGACTGCAGTTTTGTCTGCTGATCATGAATCTGAACTTAAAACTTGTCACTTCAGTCTTCCATTGGAGATACAGCCACTTGATAGTTGGAAAGTCAACTATTTCAGGAACCCACTTTCGTAATGAAAATCTATAAATGATACATCCTTTTCACATTCACTTGATGTTGAGGTAATTTCCTTTGGCATTTCAATTTTTTTTCCATATAAAGTTCAGTTTTCTCAAATTTATATTTTTATCTAGCAAACGATAAAATTGTCGATGAAATTAAATGGATACTTTTACACAAGTCTTGTTTGTTGGCTATGTTGACAATGTTGCAAAATTAAACCAAAAATTAATATGATATGAAATTTTTATAAATATCGAAATGATAAAGATGCTTTTTTTGACATCCACAATCAATTCTATATTTGTAATTTCATCAGTTTGGACTTCCATTGTCTAATATGATATAAAATGATTTGAAATTCCTGAAAGAATTATAACGTTTACGATATAAATTTCATTAGTTAGGACTGCCATTGTCTAATATATAAAATGATTTTAAATCCCTGNTTTCATTTTTCCCCAAATCAACTCGATGGGATTAAAAACACAAAAATAGGGGGGAAGTCTCAATATGGTGTGTCCATACTTTTCAGCAATAATCTCAAGGGCATACACTTTTTCAAATGTTTTTGTCTGTAAAACTTCAAGTAGTTGGTTTTTGGTATAGTTATCTTCAAAATACAAATTTTTATTCACGTGGACTAATTCGTAGCGGCATTATTTCTTTGTATTGGTTTTTTTGGCCTTTTTGTTCGCCGATAGCTTTAAGAATTACTATATCAATTACTTCGACTATACAACTGATATCAAACTTTCTTCAAATTCATTGAGAAAATTTGTCATGTTTAATTTACGCGGATTTTAATGTTTTGCAACAACACACTCACCCACAAATCCTCAATGTTATCATTGTTGGGAAGTTTACAAAATTTAAGAGTGTTTTTCAAATAAATAGCTAACCCTCCTCCCCTGGTCCCTCCGCTCCTGTCCCTTCGCACGACATTGTACCCAGGTAAACAAATATCTATAGTACGACAATTATTGTTCAGCCAAGTTTCACTCAGAGTGATGATATCGAACTCATTTGACAAAATCAAATTTACGAAATCAATATAATGAGCGACCAATGATCTTATATTCAGATGGCATAGATTTGTTTTCATATTTCCAACCTGCTTACATGCCAAAAAGGCCTATGAGAGGAAAAAAGCATATATATACATCGATATCTAATGTACCAAAGATGAACTCAAAAGGTAACCTATCAATCAATTATAATTATAGCAACATTAATAACAATACAATCAATAAATTCAAATAACAACGAACACGAAAAGTTTTTATTTCCTTGACCTCCCAGCTAATCTCTACGATGTATCTGCTCTCTTCAACATGTTATAATTTTGCTTTTTTGCAGAGATAATGATGATACGTTATTGTGCATTGGGAAGAGCTCCTGTTGTTGAAGAGTTCATTGTAGATCACCCCTTCATATTTGCAATTCAAACAAAACATCACGTAACTGCAGTTTTCCTGTTCGAAGGAAAAATCTTGAAACCCGAAGTTCAAGACTAAATGAAAATATAACCTTAAGTGCCTCTCAAATNTGAAGAGGTATCGCAGCCTCGCTTTCAGAAATTATAATACTATTTGTTTTGGCACCTCTCTGAATATTAATGTAATGTTCTTTGGTAAGATTCGTATCAATAATGAGTGCCAAAGCTTCTTCAGGGCTGTATTTTTGTAATGAAGGTATTTCTTTCACATGCTGCATTTTTCTCAAACTCTTTGGTGAAGCTTCGAGAGCAAGCTTTATAACTTTCGCAATTTTTCTTCTTCCCGTCTTCACTAAGCTGGATTCGGCAGCATAAGAAAGTTGCTCAAGAGATACATTGTCGACAAAAGTTCGAACATTTCGTTGTTTTGTGCGCAGAGAACACTCCTCAAAACTTTTTTTTGGTCTGCCTTGGATTCTTTTTCTCCTAGGTGTAACTGCTTCAATATTCAAAAATTGAGGAACTTGGAATTCTTCGCTCAACCACCTTGCATGTTTGTCAAAGAATCGTTCTTGCATGTTGTGGCATTCTCCCCATTTAGACCTCAACTTCGTGATGAAAACTTTTATTTTGATTCTCAATGCTTTTTCTGTTGTTGATGGACAATCCTCAATGTTGTATTTGTCGACAATGTAATCAAACAATCGTTTATTGCACTTAGGTATCGATGACTTGAACAAACTTTCGCTCCTCAGTATCAAGAACAGTTCTTTTCTGGTTATTTTCGGCAACGCCACAGCGCCATCGACTGTCTGACTACCTGTGAAAAATGACGAATTATGTGAAAATGTGGCAAAAAGGGGTGCTAAAAACTATTGCGAACTAAAGTTCAGACACGTGGGTTATGTTTGTTCACTTTTTCTAACCGGAACAATGTGGAACTTTTTTTGAAAATCTAGTCAAACTAAGGCAAACAACAAAAAAAAAGGGCATTCAACGGATATGCTCGAATATTTCACTAGGATATTTCTATAACTACATAATTATATTGAAATTACAATGTACTTACCACAAGGTAAAAAATCCATATTGAAAATATTCCACTTAATGCACTATAACTTCACAAAAACACAACAAATTGACACTACGGTTGGGACAGAACTGATGAGCCGAGCAAGGGTGATGAAAGAACTCGAAGTTTGGCTACCTGTCCCATGGATTAGGGCATTTCTAGAAAAAAACCTAATCTTGTATTGGATATAAGGGATATTTGAGACCGGTTTGGCATTAAAATTTTATTCAAAATAAAACTTTATTTTTTTGACTTTTGTCCTCGTAAATAGGCTGTTTTGCCGTGTGTGCAACGATAGGACACTACTTTTGTGTTTGATAAATTCAAGCTTAAAAGATTTGAGTCAAACCAGTCTTTCACTTTCGTGATGTCATTCTCAATACTTAATTCAATGTATGGTTGTTAGGAGCATGCCATAAAATTGTGTTATCATCAGCAAATAAAGTAAATTTTCCTTGGATGTTAATAGACGATAGGTCATTAATGTAAATTAAGAATCAAAGTGGGCCCATTACCGAACCTTTGGGACGCCGCAAGTAATTTTACCTTCATTTGAGTATTAAGTGGTTTTGACCATCTGGGTGCAATCTGCTAA